TTGAGGTTGCTGTGAGCTATGACACCATGGCGCTCTACCCAAGCGAACCCAAGAGTTTGAGGTTGCTGTGAGCTATGATGCTGTGGCACTCTACCAAAGGTGACAAAGTAAAATTCTGTCACTAAAAGAAAAGAAAAAAACTTGTTCATATGTAGATTCATAAAACACAGATATGAAAGTTGTCTTAGTTTAAAAACCAGGCCAGGTGTGGTGGCTCTAGAACCCTGGGAGGCTGAGGTGGGTGGATCATTTGACCTCAGAAGTTTGAGACGAGCCTGCGCAAGAGTGAAACCCCATCTTTAATAAAAATAGAAAAAACTAGCCAGGCATTGTGGTGGGCACCTATAGTCCCAGCTACTGAGGAGGCTTGGGGCAAGAGGCTCTTTCATACCCAGGAGTTTGAGATTGCTGTGAGCTATGATGCCATGGCACTCTACCCAGGCAAACAGTGAGACTCTGTCTCCCAAAAACCACTGGACCAGATAATATTTATATTCTTGAGATTGCTATGGATAACACAGGAAGATGTTTTTGCTTTTATCTTTGGGGTTCTGGACAAGATGTTATTGGATAAAGGGTTCCGGTGCTAACATAGTTAAGAAGTTAAAGTTTGCAAGCTATTGGCTTAAAAAGTTAACCACCTGTACTTTAAAAATGGAGAAATTGAGGCTCTGGGAGGAGGCAAGACTAAACATTTGGATGTCTAATGCCCAGATACGTGCTCTCTATCTGCTACTTCCATAGCTCCTATTAGCACCTAGAATCACTTTATATCACATTTTCTGTGGAACTTAATCATTGGGACTAATTATTTGGTAAGTGGACCTACAGACGTGAAGTAACTTAGCCAAAATCATGTTGTTGGAGGTCAGAGGGCAAAACCCATCTTTTGTCCTTGGTCTCGGTCGTATTTCATAGTTGATACGTTAGATGTGCTAAGAAATTACCTGCTCCCTTTAGATTTATTCTGCCTTTTTTTTTTTTTTTTTTTTTTTTTGAGAAGGAGGTGATAAGGAGTAGAGGGTAGGAGTGCATTTTCCACTGGCTGCATTCCCCAGGCTGTTCTTAACCTCTGGGCTTGGTGGGTCTTCATGCCTTTGTCTCCCAAGTAGTTGAGACTACAGGAATGTGCCATCACACCCAGATTATTCTGCTTTTCCCTAACATATGTATATAAATGGATAACTTTATTTTTATTTTGCCAAAACATCACATACTTTAAAACTATCCAAATGCTACAAAAATATTTGATGTATAGCTAGGTGTTCTTAATGCTTTCTTTTGAAGTAAAACTGTTAATCATAAACTAGGCTCGGCGCCTGTGGCTCAAGTGGCTAAGGCACCAGCCACATACACCTAAGGTGGTGGGTTCAAATCCAGCCCAGGCCTGCCAAACAACAATAATGGCTGCAACCAAAAAATAGCCAGACGTTGTGGCGGTTGCCTGTAGTCCCAGCTACTTGGGAGGTAGAGGCAGGAGACTAGCTTGAGCCCAGGAATTAGAGGTTGCTGTGAGCCGTGATGCCACGGCATTCTACCCAGGGCGACAGCTTGAGGCTCTGTCTCAAAAAAAAATAATAATAATCATAAACTATACATTCTATTTCATAGATTTTCTTTTTTTTTTTTTAGAGACAAAGTCTCACTTTATTGCTTTTAGTAGAATGCTGTGGCATCACAGCTCACAGCACCCTCCAACTCCTAGGTTTAAATGACTCTCTTGCCTCAGCCTCCCGAGTAGCTGGGACTACAGGTGCTCACCACGATGCCCCACTATTTTTTTTGTTGCAGTTTGGCTGGAGCTGGGTTTGAACCTACCACCCTTGGTATATGGGGCTGATGCCCTACTCCCTAGGCCATAGGCACCGCCCTTTTTTTTCTTTTTTTTTTTAGGCAGAGTCTCATTTTGTCACCCTCAGTAGAGTACTGTGGCTTCATAGCTCATAGCAACCTCAAACTCCTGGGCTTAAGCAATTCTCTTGCCTCAGCCTCCCAAGTAGCTGGGACTACAGGTGCCTGCCACAATCCCTGGCTTTCATTATTGTTGTTGTTGTTTAGTAGGCTTGGGCTGGGTTTCAACCCACCAGCCCTGATGTATGTGGCTAGTGCATTATTCACTGAGCTACAGGCGCTGAGCTTTTTTTTTTTTTTTTTTTTTTTTGAGACAGAGTTTTACTCTGTGGCCCAGACTAGTGTACAGTGGCCTTAGGCTAGAGGACAAGAGTATAGTGGCATCAGGCCTACCTCACAGCAACCTCAACCTCCCAGGTTGAAGCACTCCTCCTGCCTTAGCCTCCCAAATAGTAGCTGGGATTACAGGTGTGAGCCACCACACCGGTCCAGCTGATACTTTTTATTTTTTGTAGAGATAGGGTCCCTTACGTTGCCCACACTTGTTTCTAACTTCCGGCCTCAAGTGATCCTCCTAGGTCTCCCAAAGTGCTGAGATTATAGGTGTAAGCCACCATAGCCAGTTCAAAGTACTTCTGGTCTAAATACTTAAATAGACCAGGGCCAGCTGTCTTTAAGCTAAACACAGAGGATGTCTTAGTGCTTGTCCATTCTAGTACATAACCCTAAGGCAGGAGAGAGATTTCATTAAAATGGCATAGAAGTAGGATTCAGGAGCTCTGGGGTCTAGTACCCAACATGCAAGTAACAACTTTACTGTGACACTTGGGAGGGGCAGGTTAGCTTTTCTTTTTTTTTTTATTTTTCATTTTTGAGACAGAGTCTCAACTATGTCACCCTCAGTAGAGTGCTGCGGCATCACAGCTCACAACAACGTCAAACTCTTTTTGGTCTTAAGCAATTCTCTTGCCTCAGCCTCCAGGCAGTTGGGACTACAGGTTCCCGCCACCACGCCCAGCTATTTTTTGTTGTTGCAGTTGTCATCGTTTAGCTGGCCCAGGCCAGGTTGGAACCCACCAGCCTCCATGTATGTGGCCTGTGCCCTACCCTGAGCCATGGGCACGGCCCCAGCTACTTTTAGAGATTCAGTGCTTTGGTTATTTAAGGACTGATTTAACTACCTTTTTTTCCCTTGAAAAATGGAAATATCTTTACTATTTGGGGTTTTTTTTTGCAGTTTTTTTTTTGTTTTTTTTTTTGTTTTTTTTTTGGCCAGGTCTGGGTTTGAACCTGTCACCTCTGGCATATGGGGCTAGCGCCCTACTCCTTTGAGCTACCATGTTTCCTCGAAAATAAGACCTACCCCAAAAAATAAGCCCTAGCAGGATTTCTATGCATTTGTTAAATATAAGCCCTACCCTGATAATAAGACCTGGTGATAGGCATGGCTGTGCAGCTGTAGATAGGCTGCATAGCCATGCCATGCATTTTGGCTTGGAGCAGTAAGGAAGACTGGGAATACCTTTTATCTGCCACAGCTCCTTTCTCTGAGCCTTTCACACTTGCGCAGGTGTGCATGTAATAACCGTGGTTGCAGGCATCCTATTGTGCCTGCCAATGGCTAGGGGAAGGGAGTTCACGCCTCACTAGCCAGCCCCACCAACAAGGTTGGCTCCCCCTGTCAGGTTCCAGAAGATGACTTAACTATATTTGAATAAATGTAGATTGTTGTATTATACTTAATAAAAATAAGGCATCCCCTGAAAATAAGCCCTAGTGTGTCTTCTTGAGAAAAAAATAAATGTAAGACAATGTCTTATTTTCAGGGAAACATGCTACAGGCACTGCCCCTACTTTATTTTTTTTTTTGAGACGAGAGTCTCACCAGGTTGCCGATGGTGCCCATGGTGGAGTGCTGTGGCATCCCAGCTCATAACAACCTCAGACTCTTAGGCGTAAGTAAGTCTCTTGCCTCAGTCTCCCAAGTAGCTGGGACCACAGGTGCCCGTCACAACGCCCAGCTATTTTTTGGTTGTAGTTGTCGTCATTTGGCAGGCCTGGGCTGAGTTTGAACCCGCCGGGTCCGGTGTATGTGGCTGGTGCCCTAGCTGCTGAGTGAGCTACAGGCGCTGAGCCAAGGTTAGCTTTTCTAGGTTCTATTTTCCAAATCTGCAGAAGAAAAAAATCAGATTTCATGAATTCTAAAGTTTCTATGAAGTATTAATTTGTTAAAAAGTAAAGATAATATTTTGGAAGGTGGAAGGAAAGTGGATCCTGTTATTGGTTGGGAACTGATAGAACCACATGACAGCCTCTGACATGTTGGAGGGGACTAAGAAATCACTGATCACCTGCACCTGTGGTACCTGGAACAAACTTGGTGAGGCATGGTTTTTTGTTTTTTGTGTTTTTGCCTTGGGGGAATATAAGATGGCTGCCAGACCATCTTCCCCTATAACTGATGGAACAGCAGCAGTAACACAAAATATGGTTGATGCTTAATTGCTGTTTTTGATTTCTTTATTTCCCACTTGACCTTTCTAGAACCAAATAAGTAGGATTGACTTTTAACTTCTCACATTACAGTATGAAAAGGTGAAATCTTGCAGGTGCATCCTAGTTTGGTGAAGAGCAGTAGAAGAAAACATCTGTGAAGCTTGGCGCCTGTGGCTCAAGTGGCTAAGGTGCCAGCCACATATACCTGAGCTGGAGGGTTCAAATCTAGCCCAGGCCCGCCAAATAACAATG